TATTCATTAAGTAATGATTTATAAACCTTAAATGAGCTGATTTCGATCGGGACAACCAGTTGATTTCAAATAATATTTAATCTGCGATCGCGCTGCCCTCTATCGCAAAAACGATTCAACGTATGAAGAAATGTTTGGAACAAAAGTTGTAGAGAATTTAATTTTCTACAATATTAATGATGACTAAAATTAGCTTAAAACCCATTGGAAACCAGATATTGGTAAAAAACGTGCCAAAAGTCGTTTTTTTGACTTTTGACCCCCAATTTTTGAAGTTGCGGCCTGCGAATCACATGTAAATTTTGAAAATACTATTATGATGCCAACATACAAAGTTTATACAAATTTACAGCTGGGTATGTCCACTTTCCTAGGCAAACCCCCTAAAATGACTGGACTACCACGCCACGGTAATCGAAGCAAAACAGCAAAACTTTGACATTTGATCGAACTAGGCGTGCTTTATTTGGTCTTGGCTCTCCTGGGCTCTTTCATTGGGACGATTGAACTTTGGTTTCGAAATCATAACCATAAACCCATGATTCGTCACCAGTTACGACCCTTTTGAGCAAATCTGGTCAAAATTCAACAATTTTGGAGCGAACATCCTCAGCAACTTCTCTGATAGTGATTCGACGATGATTCTCTGATAGTAAGAAGCTTGTTCCACTTGTGGACATTTTTCTGACTCGGAGTCTATCGACATTTGAAGTGTTCTAAGCAATTAATTCCATTTTTTACATAAAATTTGATGCGAGTAAACAAAAAACAAAATAAAGCAAACATTTAGGAGAGTTAAGCAAAAAATTAGGTGGAAAACTTGTGTGCAGCAAGCTAGGAGAGTAATTGAATAAAACCACAAGTCAGATATTGAGCTAACAAGTAAAAACATAGTTCAAGTGTATTACAAAAAAAAACATAATTCAGCAGTAATACAGTAGTAGTAATAAGCTCACATGGTAGAATAACTTTCAATTTGGGCTCATGTCTTTTGACTAGACTGTAAAAGTTTCTTAACATGGTTCTTAACTTGACCAATTGGTTCATAATAAATGTCGAAATTTTCACAGAGTTGGTTGTAAAGTTTGCTCATTGCAACATTTGGTGACTTGAGTAATATGTTTGTTCTAGAATTTGGTAGATAAAAAGTCAGTTCATTTCTAGAATTGATTCGTGGAACATGAAAGTTGAAGTGGGAGAGTAGTTCGGGACAGTCAATCAAATTATTCACTAGTTTATAAATGAAAATTATAGAGCAGTATGTTCTTCGGTTTTGAAGGGATAATAGATTAAATTTATTCAGTACTATTCTGTTGTCGATGCCTTGTTCAGGGTAAACTCCTTTTAGCTTATAAGTAATGAAGCCTCTTTGTATAGACTCGATTTTGTTTATGTGGACATTGTATATGGGTGACCATATAAGAGAGGCATATTCCAGCCGAGATTTGACGTATGTATTGAAAAGAGGTAAAAAAACTGTCTCTGCTACGAAAGTTCTTACAGTTACGATAAGTGAGCCCTAGCATCCGTTTGGCTGAGCATGTGATTGTGTTATAGTGAATGGAGAAACTCAGTTTAGGGTCAGATGTGACACCAAGATCCCTCTGATGAGTGCTTATTTGAAGAGGTGTGTTATTTATGCAGTAATCATGAGAAATAACATTATGTTTAAGGGTGTATTTTGAGTATTCACATTTGTTTGTATTGAGGGGAAGATTATTTTCGGTACACCAAATGTACAAAAAGTCAAGGTCTTTTTGTAAGATTAAGCAGTCCTCCTGTGATGTAATGAGCCGAAAGATTTTCAAATCATCTGTATAGAGTAAGAAATTGCTAGATGGATTATTTCCTATGTCGTTAATGAAGAGTGAGAATAAAAGAAGTGCTAAATTGCTTCCTTTAGGGGCACCACTGTTTGCAATAAATTGGAACGAC